AACAAATTGGGCTATATATTGCATTATTTAAATGAGTAAATAATGTTATTATGATAAGCCTTTCTGTACATGCAACACATGTCAATTATTCAATGCAACTTTTTGTGGCAATATATTTTACCAGCAAAGAAAAAATAAAAATTTAGGAATACATTAAATAAAATGAATAAAAGCTCCATTTCTAAATTCAAGATCGAAACATGCAATACAAATGCTCCAAACACTTACTTGCAAATGTGAAAGTCACTATTCATTTAATTTCAATGATTAATGAATTTCATTACACAATTTAGATCAGATGTTATAAGAGTATATGTCTAATTATAATTAGATGAATCAAACATATCCGACTGACTGATAGAATACGAAACACTGCTATGTCCATGTTGCACCACATGACTAAGAGCTACTGGAAGTGAACTTGGAATAAAATCTATTGAGACCTCAATATCATCACATGTATTATGTTCTGTCTGAAGTTTAATAGGATCCTGACCTTCATTTTGTACATTCTGACTTTTTGCCACGTTTTGTAGCTGCACAGTTAATGTTGAATTCCGACCTTCAGTATTTTGATTCTCTCTGCTTTTATTCTCATCACCGGTCTGTGTTTCCCTTGTACACAATGTCCTTACAAGATGGTTCAGATTCCAGGTCATTCCTGGCTTCATCTTAATATGTGCATTGGGGCTTTCTACTGAATCACTGTTTACATGCACAGATAATGAACTTAATTTTTTCCTTTTTAAAGCTGAAGAAGGCAACTCAACAGCAGTATGTCCTGATTTACATAAATTTTCTGATTGTACTTTGCACTTTATAACTTTCAGTTTCACAATTTCTGGGGTCACGGTAAAGATGCTGAGGTCACCCCTGTCTGTTGCTATGGGACTGTCAGCGAATAAATCAGCCTGAGACAGAAAGTTAGAACTTTCATTATCCCCCTGCAACTGTCCATTGAAGTCTCTGCCACTGTGATGACCTATGTTTGGAGTACTAGTCTGATTTAAAAGTCTTCTTTTATTTGAATGCTGTAGCAACCCCTGTTTAAGACAATGTTTAAGGGGCTCTCTACCTTTCATGTCAGGGCTTAAATAATTTGGACTAGTGTTTAAACCAGGGAGGGAGTGTATTGTGCTGCGGTGCCTGCTAAACTGTACACATTTCCATGATTTCTTTGGTCTCTTTCTGCTGAAAGTATCTGGGATATTTTCCTTTTCACCGAGTAGTTTATTAGACTCATCTGGTTCATCATCTGAGTCTAATAAATCCCCTGTGGACTGGCTCTCAGCAACAAAAACAGGTTCACTTGGTTCTGAACCAAGGTGAGACTTTTTTCTTTCTTTTGATCCATCGGTGACTTTCGGATCAGTCCTGTTTCCTAATAAATCATTGTGTGACATATTTTGACTTGGGAAACATTCTGAATCATCCTCAAGGTTGGTCTGGAACAGATCACAAGACCCATCTTCAGGTATGTAACTGTCATCTTCTGCAGTGTTAACAGTGTCACATTGTCCACAGGTGTCAACTTTGTCATCCCCATCCACCTGGTTGCTATGATTGAAATCAACTTTGTTACTGCTTATTGCACGGAGGCCATTTAAATTGCCTTCAATTGGCACAATATCAGCACCATTTTTTACATTCCTATTCTTTGAAACAAGATCAGACTTAGATTTATTAACTTCAAATCTCTTGACCTCATCAAGCATTTGCCATTGGGCATAACTAACATTTTGCACTGATGGACAATCACTCAAATTAATGTTACTGTCCACATCCACTTTCTGAGCTGGTGAAAAGGTCCTGGTATGGACATTTTCTTCCACTTTAAGTATCAAGCCCTCTTCTTCACTACAGTCAAACAGGTCACATGACACATACAATGCACAGCTATCACTACAGCAATCTGCTGGGATATGTTCTTTATGTTCTGTTGATTCAGCCACCTCCTCTTTCTGTATATTGTCTGTAACTGAGCTATCAACACCCTGCTGTGGTTTTGCCATGCCATCACAGAGCTGCCTTGTATTCTCGGGCACAGGATCAAAATGAGTTTTCTGTATTTCAAAGGAATATCTTTTTCTCCCTAGAGCAATACAACCTGAGTTTGAGAATTCACCCATCTTGGAATCATGCTTTGCCTCTGAAGACTTCAGAACAACATCCACTTTGAGTGGAGTAGAATCACATTTTGACTCATCCAAAATGCTGCCAAATGTGCCATCCAGTGCAGCCATAATGGAATTAGACATCACTTCCTCTTCCTTCAAAACACCAGTCCTGATGGTTTCCTGTCCTGACAAGCTGCCATCTTCTTTATTCTTATCAGTCAATGTTGGCTTGTGAACAGACACATTTGAAATCACCCTTTCGTGAGCTTTGACCATATTTTCTAGAAAGCAGTCTAAGTCTTCAGAATAAGGCATGTCTTCACTATACACAGCAACGGCACCACCTACGCCACTGCTGCTGTGTGTGACATCAACATGCCCTGTACCAGTGTCTTTATGGTGGACGGACTGACTTTGTAAATATGGAACATCAAAGCTGGTGTGGAAGTTGCTGTCATGCAAGTCTGCTAACAACAGCAGACTGTCATTGTTTGAATTGTAAAAGCTGCCATAAAGTTCTGTGAGATGGTCATCCTTCCCCTGGTTGCTGACTATGTAGTCAACAGAGGCAGAGACAGCAGTTTCTCTGGTATTGTCACTTTGCTGTACACTGCTTAAGCAGTGGCCAGTTTGATTGAGACAAGAAGGCCTGGCCATGGCATCTAATTGTCTGTTGCCATTTTCCATACCACTGCCCTTATATGCTCTTGCTTCTCTTCCCCAGTGGTCAGTTTGTTTGTTTTGGTCAGACTGCTGACTTTTGTCAGTATGATTATGCTGGTCAGATTGCTGGTGATGTGCAGTGCCAGCCATATCATTCACTGCCCTGTGATCCATCACTACAGGATTTTCCACTTGACCCTCATGATCTCCTTGCTTACGCCATGTCAAATTCTTAAGATTAACATCATTCTGGCCACCTCGTGATTGCGTGTGGTCACTGTCCTGTCCACTACAGTAAGCTCCCTGTGGGGGAGTGATATCCTGACCAGTCAATACATTCAACTGACCACTGTCATCTTTGTGGGCTTCTCTCTTTACTGTTCTCATAGCCTGAGATGGTTTCCTAATTGCACTTTTGAAGTAGTCTAAATAAAGCTCACTGTCTTCCTGGGCGAGGCCACACATGAGTGAATCGTCCATCTCTGGAATGTGGTCTGGTAATACAGCCTTGGAGATTCCAACACCATTTCTTTCAGGTGAAACGTCGTGAGAATTTAAACTGCAGTTTTGAGTGTCTTTGGTCAATTTGTGATTAAAAGGACCCAAAGCGGACAATTTTGTGTTCTCATGCTGCCCACAGTGTGACACACTGCCTATTACACTATCAGTCTGTGTGTTGTCTTCAAAGTCAGTTATGTCACAGTAAGGCAGCTGATCTACTTTGGTGCTGTTGTTCTGAACACTTAATTCATCATCCACTATGGCTGACACACTGCCTAGTCCTAGAGGAGACAGTTCTAGCAAAGTACCATTCCTCACAGCCTCAATATCACTAACAAATGCAGCAGTGTCAGAAGAATCTTTGTCTCTGCTTGTACCTAAAAAACTGCTGTCTAACACAGGCAATTTATCTTGAATTTCTTCTGGTGGGTTTGAGACTTTGGGACCTTTATTTAGATTAACTTCAATTGACTCATTACTGGGAGAGTCTTCAGTCTTCGCAAAAGGCCTTTCTAAATCCATAATAAAAGATGAAAGACTATCTCTACCAGAAATGGATTTTGTCACAGATGAGCTAGAATTGTGGCAATGATTCCATTTATAAGCTTTTTGAGTTGATTCAGACCCCTGAGCATCATTTTGTGTTGTTCCAGAAATCACTGACAACCTATTGCTTTGTAATTTCTCCAAATCTGAGTTAAAACTTTCTGTTGTCAGTTTGTTAGAACTGCCAGTGTGCTCTTCAAAACAACTTATCACAATGTCGCTCTGTCCATAACTCACTTGACCACTAGGCTGGAAGCTGGACTGACCACTGCATAAATTACTGTCAAGATGGCAATCAGATATCCCAGACATATAGCTATTGGAATTTGACACTTTCCCACTGGCATGGCCTGGGTGGCCTAGTTCATACAAATCCTGGTTATCTGTCCTGCCATCAACACCCTGTATACTGTCATCTGGTTCTATGGCAGAAATATCTAAGACTGACTGCTCTCCAGACATACATGTACCTTCAGCATCTGTCCCTAGTTCTGTTACAGTTTTGATCTTTTTATTTGGAAATAAAGTAAATTCCACTGCCTGTTTCAAATGCTGTAGTATTGTACTGCACCCTGCTCCACCCACACAAGCTTCACTGTGTTCTGGCTCAGCCACCACAATCTGAATAGCAACCAGGCCTTTTGAAAACTCTGCATCTCTATTACACCACTGCTGCTGAGTTAAAATCTCCGACAGAGACACTGGTCTCAGACACTGGGAAAGGGATCTTTTGAGGGGGTTGATCTTGAAACCAAAATAAAATTTCCTTCCCACCAGACATCTTTTCAGGGATTCCATGATTAAGTCTTCACACTTAAGGAACGGCTGGTCATCAAGCCATGTTTTATATCTGTAATATAGGATAAAATAATTCATATTATTCTTTAGTATTAGTGGGTCAAAAAGCTTCTTCTACTGCCATATAGTGTGTTTGCTTTGAAGCAACATAAAATTACCCTTTAAATCTATATTAAAACACACAAATTCAAATTGTTTTACAAATTTTTAACATACATTGCTTATTCAAGAAAAGACATACTTGTGGTAGTCCTGGGCTGTTCCCCCAACAACTGCCTCCAAACACTTCCCAAACACTGTGACATCTGCTGTACTGCCATCATCTGTGACATGCAGTGACAGCCTGAACCTCTGGACACTGCTGTGGTCAGTGAAGCTAGTACAACACTTACTGCACCATAACCTGAAACACCATAAAACATTTCAGACTATGTCAAAATTTTAGAATGTGATCTAACCAGAAGCTTTACCCACTTTTTTTTTAATAGTTTCACCGCCACAGTGTTTGGCACAACCATGATCCTGTTGTGCATGAAGCACTAATTTCTGGTACAGTCAGTAAAATCAGCTTTTATTGCCAATGGACAAAAAGGCACCTAATATTTTGTTTTTTAAATTTGCAGATATAGGTGTAGAATACAAATATGAAAATTATTCAAATTTGATGATGTAAGCATCACTCTTCTACCATTTAACACATTAGTATGTACCACAATCAGACATTTATTTAGTCTTACTTTTGACTTTGAAAACTTGTCAACAATCTTTTATTGCACAGTGAACAGCTTGGGTAGCACAGCACGCAGTCCTTCACTGCTGTCACAGTGGCCAGGATCAGGACCCTGTCAGAGGTCATCCTGTACTGTCCCTGTCACAGCATGGTATAGTATGGTGTGGCCACTGGCATTGTCCTGGTGGCTGGGCTGGCAGACTTGGCCCCTGGGTGAAGAAGATAGTATATTTAAACATGGCTAAAATTAAGCTACATAATCAGCTTTTAATTATGCAACCAGTAGATGACTCTTAAAAGATTTTTGATAATAAGTTATGTGTACTTTACCACTGCCTTCCCAACCCACTTAATTTGAAAGAGACAATAATGAAAGTCAAGACAAAATTGAATTTAGAAAATTAGACTTTAGACTTATGGGGGGGGGGGGGGGGGGGGGGGGGG